AATGTCTTTATTTTTCTAAAGAAGTACTATTTACATATCATAAAGAATACTAAAGTAATCACAGGACGAAGGTATTAACGGCACTTGTTTCAGCCGATAGAAGAAAAATTTTGACAGTGTTCTTACAGCTCTACTGTAGAGATTTCGCCTTTATTATTATTTGTTACGTTTTGAAAGAAAGAAAGAAGGAAAAACAGATTAATTCGTAGCTTGCACATGGCATAAATAAATACTTTTCAAAAAATATAAGTACCTATAAAATAATAACTTATATTAACTTAATAATAGCTTAAAGTGTGTACTCATTTTTATGTTTTCGTAAATTGTAATATAATTGCGGTTATAAAGTTATGGACTGGGGTGAATGGAGTGGCTACTGGCTAATAATTCGTTAGGGGGAAGCGGCCCGCCCACTACGAGTACTAAATTCTCGGAAGGAGCTGTCCGATTTCTGACGGTAATAGCGGTACACAAGGTCAGACCCTTGACCTGGCCACGTCTATCTAGGACTAAAACTTCTAGCAATGTTTGATAAGGTCAAGACGACTGATGTTGGACTGTTTTGAAATTTAAAATCGGGGTTTTATTTTAGCATAATTTAGGTACTCCTATTTCGTTAAGTTATATTTACAACTATATTTAACGTAATAAATCCATATACGTCTGTATTCATTTAATTTTTGAATGATTAATAAGGCTGATCTGAAAACTTTAAACGAGCAATTCTATTTGATTTATTTCTCAAAAATGGCCCTCACTATTTGGGTGAAATTTTGTATTTAGATAATGTTTACTTTTCAAGTTTATCCAGATAGGTATCACCTTAAAAAAATTTTAAAACTTCGGGATTCGGGATCCGCAAACCTTTGATTATATACATGTCCGGCTTTGATTATACATGTATATAATCAAAGCGGCAAACCATGTCACTCGTCGTTTAATTTTCTCTATATTTTTTTAATTTCTCTATGACTACTATTTCTACAGACGTAAACTATTATTATTAGTATTTATAAATTATATAATATTTGCTTCAACAACTCTAGATTCAATTCTAATATTTTATGGAGAAAAGTTTATACTTTATGGCATTGAGGTATTACTACTACGTATAGAGAAGACATCGCCTTGCATGATTTTGCGCCACGCATTGCGGTACACTGTACCGCAACTGTTTCGTGAGTGTCCAACGCCCGCACAGGCGAGTCGTGTTTGCTTAGCATAAAAAACAACTTCAAAATGCCTGGTTGTGTTCTTAAAGACTGCAGTAAACACTCCAGAACATCAAAAAATGTGATGGTTTAACATTTCATCGGTAAGTGTGACCAGACCACTGTGACGAGGATTAAGAAAGGAATGCTTCGGTGGTTTGGTCAAGGAAATTTATATGACAAATGTGAACGGCAGAGTCGGGAAGGGACGCCCTAGAAGAAATTTTATCGACCAAATTGGCGATATTTTAAAATGGGCCACGTTAGAAGTACCCTTAACCGACGAGCATGTATGCGTAGATATATGGATGTAAAGGAGGCGAAAGAGGTATGTCAGGATCGTGCCAAATGGAAGTAGTCTCTGCCTACCCCTCTGGGCGACAGGCGTGATTGTTTATGTTATTTATGTTTTTTATGACTACGACACAAAAACATCCGCATCATAAACTAATAAGTATAAAAGATATGGGTAGTTTATGCTACTCCACTGAAGACGTTTATAAAATTTGTCTATCGACGGAAATTGTTACACGTCGTTTAATTCGGTCCAGTAGCGAGAATGGCCTGTCATCTAAATACGACTACAATTATATTACAACTAATGCATTGAAGTGTTTTGTTGAGAAAGACATATTCGTTTGTTTACTTGGTCATTAATTTGATCAACCTTCTACATTAAATCACAGAGTGCATCTAATACGTAATAATAAACAAATATACAACTGTTCGATTGCACCACGAGGCAAAGATAACAAATGATTATACGAGCAAACGCCAAAAGCTACACTAAATTTACCTATATTGTTTAAAGGCAATTAAATATTAATTTGTGTTGAATTATTTGGAATGTGTAATAAATAAAGTTTATATTAAATTGCAACGAGACTTTCACTTCTTTTATTTATTTGAGCAGTTCTCACCAAAATTGTACCGCCTTAAATTTAGATGTCCTTTAAGTTCGGGTTTATTTTGTGACTATATAAGACACCATAATTATCTGATTTTTTTAAATCTTTTAAAGTCATATCTATAGATAAAATTAATCACAAATAAAATACTACCAGAAGCGTTTAAAAATAATAGAAAAATTTATTTTCTGAAACCTGTTTATTTTTTTGTATGGATTGTAGATTGTCCTATCCCCTATCACATGATTTGAAAATTGATTTTACCAAAAAATATAATTTTAGGAGTACATCTTTCCATTTTGATCACTCTTTATTTACACAGTGATACCTTTGAACATGTATTTACTTATTTAATTTATTAATGTTTTCAATTTATTTGTTGTCCTAAATTTAACTCAATTTTGATTATCAACATTGTTACCATGATATTTCACATATTTTGTAAAAATTACTACTTTTTGGATGTTTTTAATGCTGTGTAAACATTTTTCTCCATGTCTAAGTCCTTTTATCTTAAATTGGTAGACTGACATGTATTCTGTGTCAAACAATCCGTGCACGAGTGTCGTGGGTACCGATTAAACTCAAACTTGTTTTTGGACTTTAAACGGTAAGTACATACTTTATTAAAAAGAACATTTTTCTAATGATTTCTATGTACATTCACTCTTGTTTTCGCTATTTTTTACAACGTTAGCTAATAAAATAATATTTTTAGGCGGTAAAGAATCCCATAACCTCAAATATTGTTACCACAATTTTGTTATTTTTGAGTAGGTAACGTATATGTTGATCTCATTGGTAACACAATTGATATCATTAAGGGATGAATACATTAGCCTACTGCCAACGAATAGAAAATATTAGAATATGAAATGTAGGTTTAAAGTCAAGACATTGAAATATTACAGCAAAATGTTACATAAACTACAACAATTACTTGAGAAAAACGAAAAAAAATTCAAAAAAATGTAAATCTTACGCAGCACTAAATAAAAGATTGTACAGTATTAAACTGAAAATGATTGTAAAGTAAAAAAAAAAACTAGAAAACAGCTATAAATAGTTCTGGTTATTAAACCTTATGCATTCTCATTCAAATGTATTAATTAACAACAACAAACGACAGAGTTTTCTTTTATTTAGAGAAATCTACCAGTTTCTTGAAATTAAGTCTATTTCCCGTATCTTACATCATACATTTTAAAATAAAGAGTTACTTATTTTAATTAAGAGTCCTATTATTATTTTCCGCTTATTAAACTAAATCCAATTATACCAGTATTCCTAACAATGTAAATGGGCCTTAATAATTTCTTGGTTACCAATCATCATCAATTTTTTTACTGTCCATAAAAATAACGAAGGTTTTTAACTGACAAAAATTTTAGTTTTGGACTTTAACTAATTATATTTACTTATTAATACTTGCCGAAAAATTGTAATTTTATATCATTAAACAATATTTACATTTTATTTTTATTTTAAAATACATAGAAAAAAATTGTTTGGTTTTCGTCCTAAGTAACACAGTCGAAAATATTTGTATTGTAATTTAAAAATTAGCAAACCTTTTCAAGTAAAATTTTTTGGGGGTTTAAATGACTTCATATGTAATCGTATAAAATATTTAACACGGAAAAATGAAATAACTACATTTAATTAAATGAATTTTGTTTAGTAACAAAATTGAACACGGTAGTGCCATGCTCAGAAATAAACCTGTTTAAATTACTCAAATGTTATATTACTTTTAGCAAATTCTTTAATAAAATCATTTAAAATAAACACATTTTAAAAAATCAAACAAAATATTTGCCGTACAAAATTTTTGAGAACTGCTCATTTAATGTCAAGGCAGAGTATTATTTGTAGTAACTTCTGCGTTGTAAAATCTATAGGAGCGACTTGTACACTACGTTGAACGATACGCGTAAGGGCCATGAAATCCCTGTGCGCTTAAGACGTTTTGGTCGCGAGAAAGCTAATCCCTAATGCAAATTAGCGCTGCATGTTTAATAGTTTGGTTAGACGACGTAACTATTATTTTAGCGCTGCAAGCTCGCTGCGCTTTAGTTCTAACTGTTATCAAAATGAAGGAAACTTTTGGTTCGGGATGTCTCTTCTGTACGTTAGTAATATAGTTCGATTCTTTATGGATAGTTCTTCAGCCATCGGAACATGCGGTAAAATCCGTCGCAAACTCGCAGATAGAACCAAACTACACTGCATAAGACTATATATATATATATATATATATATATATATATATATATATATATATATATATATATATATATATATATGCATATGTATATGTATATTATATTATCACTATAATATACATAATATGTACATTTATAACCGCTTCGTGGTACAGTCAGTGGCTTAGCAATGAATTGCAGAGCTAAATCCCGCGGGTTTGAATCCCACACAGAACAATTATTTGTATGGCCTACTAATAATTGTTCCGGGTACTGGATGTTGATCCTTCTGCAATTTGTGTAGGTACACAAATCTCCTGTATCGTAGTAGCAGTTTACCTAAACTGCTACTACGATACAGGAGAAAATCGAAGTTTCGTTTTTTTTTTTCTAATTTTCATAATGCTGCAAGCCTACAAGCAATTATCACTACGCATACAGCGCTTTTTTGGATAGAGTTAATGAAATAGACAATAAAATCAACAAGTTTTAACTGCCATCAAAAATGCTTTCTTATTATTTTAATATTTTTGGCACTACCTGTGATAAGTCAGCACTTAAAATGAAATCGGAGTATAAACTATAAAGTGAAATTAATTTTATTTAAAACAAAATTAAACAGTTAGATAAAATTTTAAGTTTATAGTTTTTTATTGCAAAAGTTTATATTCCGTCAGTATGCGGCGAAGTGGGAGCACTTCGGGCAGTGTTGGCAGCGGGAGCCGATGCTGCGACACCCGACCAACATGGCGGTTATCCGTTACATTATGCAGCGCAAATGTGCGGAGCTCCTGCAGCAACCGACCATCAGGTAGATTATACACAACATATTTATGGATTCAAACAATTTTTATAAGAATTGGTTCGGACTTGTTAATCTCATTGAAGTAAACTTTTATCCCAATATTTCAAATAAATATATAACGGTGAACTAGTTGAGTTTAACCAAATGGTTAAACTCACGCTCATTTATTAAATTAAGTCATTTGTTAAAATTTTATTGTTTTTATAGCTCTTGGGCTTCATATGCCATCAAACTGCACCTCAGAAACATTCATGGTTTGCACTGTAATCTCACGGCAATCCACTAACACCTTACGACTGATTAACCGCACTTATTCTTCGACTTCTACGACTGAGACGCAGATCAGATATCTTTCAGATGCTTCACGTATAGGTTCGGAAATCAAAATGCCACAGCCTAGCAGCGTTAGACCTTGTTGTTGAGGAAGGAGGGGCGGGGTGAAATTAACATTGGGTTGGAGTGAACGGTTATTCAGGACAAGTTATTGCCTCCACGTTTGCGTGTACATATGGCGCACTATAATATTTTCCGCGCAGTCTATAGCGTGCAAAAAGTTTGTCCGTGCTTGAAAAAAAAGAGTTTTTATTAGTCGCTGGCTATTTTCAACCACCTCATGAATGATCCACCTGATGACCGCTTAATTTAAAATGGCATTTACCATTAAAAAGCTAGACTCTAGTCAACTTATTATAAAACGAGGCTAAGGATTTTAGAAGTTCAGTCCTAAAATTCATAAAATTTATCGATGTGGACAGAGCAGAGGAGCTGCACTGGAAGTATTGCGTGCGTTAGTGCGGGAAGGCGGTGCGAGTGTGGACGTGCGCGATGCGGACGGACGCACGCCGTTGTTGTGGGCAGCTTCGGCTGGCTCTGCTGCTGCTGTATTAGCTCTGCACCAGGCTGGAGCCAGGGTGGACGATGCTGATAGGTACGATATTTCATAATCCAGAACAAATTTTAGTAACAAAACTTTATTTGATTGAGTAGTTCACACAATCTGTAGGTATAAAAAAAGATAATGTTTGTTTCTTCAAAATCTAAAATTTACAAAAATTCTTCACAGATTGGTTTGAAATTTCGACACAACGTTGCATTCAAATACGCACTCGTTTCTATAGGTTAGGTTTTGAGCCATAGCAACGCATGACCGGGTACAACTAGTCATTAATAAATAATTATTACATTATGTATTTCATTTGAATTTGCTATTTTACAAGTTGTCCCAAAACCTTTTACCGAATCTTCTATCCCATATTTTGGAATTCCTTTTTATGTTTAATTAGATTTTTATTATTTAGAAAATATACCAATAAAATGTTTATATTTGTAACTGTGATGTCATTTACTGCTATTATAATATAGTAAAAGCAAATTCTATACCAAAAATAAATATAAAATTGACTAAAATTAAATTTATTATTATTATTGGGGGTATCAATATAGTTTTCTCATCTGGTTGGGTTCTATAAATATATAATTATAAATGGAAATGAAAAGATAAATATACATAAATATCAATAAAATTAAATAAATATAAAAATACATAAATAAATAAAAGGCCAACCAGATTGAGGCCCTCGGCAGGGGAGACCAAACGGCCGAGGGTTAGGGGGAAAGGGAAAGAAACCGGCGGACGATGCGGGCAGTATCGAGGAGCACCGCCTTCTGCATTTGAGCCCGGAGCGGTCCGTCACGGAGTCCCAGTCGCCTCAGATGACCCGAGAGGCTGACTGGGATTAGCCCATTCGCAGAGACGACTAGAGGAATAATTTCGGTCGGCAGACCACCCCACATGTCGGTCACCTCGTGAGCCAGGTCCAGATATTTTGTTCGTTTCTCTGTTTCGGCTTTCACGAGGTTCTCGTCATACGGAATGGTAATGTCGATCAAAAATATCCTTGACTGTGCCCGGTCCATCAGCACAATATCAGGCTTATTCGCAAGAATAGTCCTGTCTGTGATGATGGCCCGGTCCCAGTAAAGCCTGGCGCGGTCATTTTCGAGCGCGGCTACCGGCAAGTACTTGTAATACGGCAATTTTCGGTCCACGAGACCGTATTTCAGAGCGAGCTCCTGGTGTAGAATTCTGGCTACTAGGTTGTGCCTGTGCAAGTACTCAGAGTTAGAAAGCGCCGAACAACTGGAGATGATATGCCTAAGAGACTCCCCGGGATGGCGACAAGCTTGACAGACGTCGACAGTGCCATCCTTTAGGATGTATCTCCGATAGTTGTTGGTCTTAATAACCTGATCCTGTATTACACAGACAAAACCCTCGGTTTCCCCCGAAGAGGTCACCGAAACGTAGCCAGTTGAGGGAGGCGACTGTATCTACGTGAGGCTCATGTAGAGCCCTGTAGTACCTCCCGTCATCCGATCTCGCCAGGAAGTAATGACGGAGGCTGCACACTTCGAGATTATGCATGGTTAGCGCGCTCAGGAAGCCACGCCCACCATGCTTTCGTGGCAAGTACAGCCTCATTACCGACGATCTCGGATGATGCATCTTATGGGACATCATTGTAGTGCGGACTTTTCTATCCAGGGCGTTAAGTTCAGTCTGACTCCACCTGAGTATGCCAAAGGTATACATGAAGACAGGCATGACCCAACCGTTATATGCAAGTGTCTTATTCACACCGGACAAAAGGCTGTTAAGAACTTTGGTCAAGCGTGCATAAAACACGTCGCAAACTGACTGTTTCATACCAGCCTCATCGATACCGATGTTCTGTGACATACCCAGGTATCGGTATGTTTCAGCCTCGGAAAGGGCCCTTAAGTTGACGGGCATAGATAAGTCTATGCCCGCAGAGTTAGCAACCCTTCCCCTTTCAACATGGAGGACAACACACTTATCCGTCCCCAGCTCCATTCTAATAGAATTGCTAAATTCACAAGTGATGTTTAGCAATTCCATAAGATGGGAGCGACTGGAGGCGAATAATTTGAGGTCATCCATATAGAAAAGGTGGGTCACTTTTGTACCTCCTTTCCGAAGCTGAAATCCCCTCCCGGAGCCCTCCAGTAAAGTACTGAGAGGGTTCAAAGAGAGGCAGAACCAGATTGGACTCAGACAGTCGCCCTGGAATATACCCCTTCTTATCCTTATGCGGCTTTCCGCAGCCGTTATCCGCTCGCCTAGACGACAGAGGATCGTACTCCACTGTCATATACACTGCTCGAGGAAGTCTCGAACTGTACAGTCAATCTTGTACAGCTCGAGGACCCTCTTTAGCCATGTATGGGGCATCGAGTCAAATGCCTTTCTGTAATCTATCCAGGCGGCGGAGAAGTTCAGACGGTCGCGTTTCACCACTTTGCCAATGACCGTGTCAATGAGGAGTGGTTCCTTGGTTCCACGACCGCCGCCCCGACATCCATTTTGAGCGCGCGACATCACCTGATTTGAGTCCAGGTGACGAGCGATTCTCGCGCTCAAAATGGATGTTAGTGTCTTGTATATGGTCGGTAGACACGTGATAGGGCGGTATTTGCTCGGGTCTGTGGCACCCTGATCTTTAGGAACCAAATGAGTGATCCCAGTAGTGAAGAGGCTTGGGAGCGACTTCTGGTTGAGAGCCTCTTGAAACTGTCGGGCGAGCACAGCGTGACACACCATGAACTCCTTCAGCCAGTAGTGATGCAGCCCGTCAAGCCCCGGACTTTTCCAGTTCGGGGCCCTACGGAACGCCTCAGCTACGTCATCCGGCGTTATGATGATGGGGTCCATGGGCGTAATACCCGCACACTGACTCGCCACAACTTCCGTCCAAGGGCCCTCGTTATGGTTTACGGGCTCTGACCACAGGCTGCGCCAGAATGCGACCGTGTCGGCCTGATTTGGCGCTGGGCCCGTTCCACTTACTATTGGTCGCTCCAATGATTTATAGAGCCTCTTCTGATCACTCTGGACGATTCTGGTTGAACCGTGTCGACCTCTCGGTATATCGCCGAATCCGCTTTCCCCAAGCAGCGATTCTTTGCTTCAGGTCGTCTATGCGCTCCGTCAGTTTTTGCATTATATCCGGCTGGAACAAACTAACATTTGTCCCAGCAAACGCCATCCTGACGGTGCGCACAATCCTTGGCCTGGTATTGCCTGACCTGAAGCATATCAGTCTGCCGATGAGGGTCCTAACCTTTGCGATAAGTTCTTCAATTCTTATTCTCCATGCTGGGATAGCACTACTTTGTCCAGTAGCGCGTCCAGCCTTGGAAAGTTTGGCGCCTATAATACGGCAGACTGCCAGTGCGGCGCCAAAAAAATTGAGTCCGTCTCGCAAAGGTCCCGGCTGGCTTCCAAATAGGTAACCAGCATTGGGTTCAGAGCCCACACGACAGCCCGATTCCGCTTGCTTAGGGCTAAGCGGGGAAGTCGCGGTCGATTTTCGAGAGGCATACTGCGCGTTTACACAATCGCCTCTTCCAATGTATTCCTCATTTGCTCTAGTTCCAGTTCCTGGGCGACTGTTCCATCATCGTCTGAATCAACCACAACGGGCGTGTTCACGGCGGCATCCACATTTGCCGTTTGCTCAGCAAGTTGTGGCGCCGCATCCTCAGCCGCAGCATTTTCACCCGATGAAGGAACAGCCTCACGTCGTAGCCGTTCGAGTTCGGTAACATCAAATGTATTTGAGCGCAAGATATACCGAACTCGGTCTGCCAGGTTTTGCTCAGTGACGGTTACAGATGGCTCCAGCTCAGCAAAAAGTCGATGCATCCTTGCCCGATACGCAAAACCTCCAGTTTCTCCCCCTTTCGCCCTAAAATACGCCCGCAATGCGTTGCTGTTCATCTGGGTTGTCCAACGCATGCGGCGTACTCCACCAGAGGCGGGTGCCGATTGCTGGGCCCGCGAAGACCCTGCCGACACAAAACCAGCTGGTGGGGATGATGAATGCGAGGGGCTGCTGGGTGGTCGTGTAGCACCTCGCGCTCGGATGGCGGTTCGCATGCTGTCGCGTCCAGCGCCAGCTCCAGACGCGCCCTGGCGATTTCCAGGCAGCGGCCCTTTGCGCGTTCTATTTAATTCCATCATCCATTTTTAGGGCGTCATTTAGCGGGAGGCGCCCAGACTCGGCGCCGTTTCATGGTGAGGCCATGTGCACAAGTGGGCCTTTGCATCTTCAATTTTTGCCGAGGCACGGCACTAACACCTCTTGGCAAGGTGCTGACTGACTGCGCTGACGTAGCGGTTTTGTCACATAACCGTTACGTCACTTCCCTACGCCTTATTATTATTATTATTATTATTATATTATACAATAGTCTAAAAATTATATTTTTATAGCTTCCTTTTTGTGTATTAAAATTGTGTAGTGTATGAGTTCAAAAATTCTGAATTAAAATGGTGTTGTGATCACGACCTAATTTTAATAATTAATGCGTGTTTTCAGAGATGGTTTAACTGCTTTACACTGTGCGGCAGCAAGAGGTCACACGGAAGCTTTAGAGACTTTGGTAGGCCTATGCGGTGCTAGAGTAGATGTGGTGGATTCGCACGGCTGCACCCCACTCCACTACGCCGCTGCGCTGGGCCACGCTGACGCCACTTCCGCGCTGCTGGTGCACGGCGCAGATGCACATCGCCAGGACAGGAGAGGTCGGAGCCCTGCCCACACGGCTGCCGCGAAAGGACAAATTGAAACTGTTCGAATCCTTGGTAATACATTTTTATTTTCCTCGTTAATTTGTTAAGAAAACAGGAGAAATAGCTAAGGTTGTGAACTTGTTTTCGTGAATGCTTATAAACCCACCTGCCCAGCGTGATAAATGTGAGCAAATCTTACACGAAATGTAGCAGACACACTCTTGAAAAGATCCTACGGTGGATTTAAAAACGTTGTTGAAGAAGAACTTCTCTTGTATTTATATTTTTATTTGAGCTTGATATATGACCTTGATATATGGGCTGTGTACTCGCTGTAAATATAACAGAATACGAGTAACCCGGGTTCGATCCCCGCCGGCACCAATGAAATTGTTAATTGCAATTTTAAGTGCCGATTTACCACGTGCTCGGCGGTGAAGGAAAACATCGTGAGGAAACCTGCATATCTGAGGAATAAGAAAAAAATATTTCGAAGATCTGTGAAGTTCGCCAACACGCATTGGGGCAGCGTGGCAGACATTTCCTTGCCCTAAAAACCTCCTTAAGAAATGAGGGGAGGCCTGTGCCCAGCAGTGGGACGTATATAGACTGCAACTTTACTTTACTTTTACTAGCCGTGTAAGAATATCCGCTACCACAAATCGTCCCGTGGATGTTTCAATAGGCGACAGAGGGAAAGAAACCAGGAACTGGGCAGCAGCGTCTTCCTAATCACAAATTAAAAAAAATTATTAAGCAATCTATGTTCAGCAATAAACTTACGATAGGCTTTAACAGTAACGGTTGATATAATATAGAATATTATCTATACTAGTATTCTATTAAAACTAGTTATGTATTAAAATTAAGTTTCACAATTGATTTTTTAGAAATGTACTCCACTTCAAACAACAAATATGTTTTATTTGTACAATTTTCTTAATATTATGTTAAAACTTAGAGTCATATCGGATTATATTACATGTTAACCAGTTAGTCAGGAATAGTTGCCAAAAATGCCGCCCCGCGTTAATTCTCATTTTCACATCTATGTTAAAAATCGATAATCTTCTATAGTTTTTGAATATTGTTATTAAATTAAGAAAAAAATACATATATGTTTGTAAACTGCACATATTGTACTTATACATATGTATGTAAAATTTATGTGAATTTCACAACGACAAATTTACATCGAGACCCGAAACAACTATTTAAACTATTCTTCGAAGTTGCGGCCGTCAGCGCTGCCACTGCGTCACGGAGGCGTAGTAAAATTATTAAGTAGAATTCATTTTTAGATTTTTACTACGGTCCCATAAATTAACCCATCCAGGGCCATACCTTCTCCTCCCTGTGGTATGCCACTGATGTTAAAACACCTTATTATAAAGAGGGAAAAGTGTTCCAAGTGACAACTGACAAAACATGAGTGTGTTTTTTCGTTTGAAGTTTTTTGTAGGTCACCCATGGCTGGCTAGCTACTTTATCATTAGAACTACGTTAAATTTTATTTAAAGAACTTTAAAAATAAGCTTTTAAAAAGTAAAAATGGACTTCATAAAATAAAAAGACCGATAAGATAGAGTGTATTGAAGCATTAAACTTCTGGCTTCAAAATTTTTTTGTATGAATTGAGAACGAAAAGATTTTTATTGTTTTAAGTTTTTGTTTTATCCTTTTGAGTGGAGTAAGGAATATCATAAATTCATGGTAATAACTAGAATGTCGTTTTAAATAGTTACATTAATATCTCCATCCCTTATTTTTCCAATCTTAGGATGCATATTTTTCTTAAAATTTATATGGAACACTCATTCAATCAAAATTGCTAAAATCGGTTCATAAACAAAGAAGTCATGCCCGAACATACTTACAAAAAATATATACAAATGACTTGAGAACCTCTCGGTTTTTAGAGTAGCTCAAAACATAAACTTAAGACAAAGTAAAAACTTTATAGCTGCGCAACACATACGGGAGTCGGGAAAAAGTTTATCGGTATTTTATTTAGGCGACTAAAATAAAATATCATTGACATGTAGATAATATGATAATGTGATTCTGTTAAAGTCGTACCGTTATTTTAGGGGCACGAGGAGCAAATCTATGGCTACGTAATTCAAAAGGTGATTTGCCATTACATGAAGCTGTTGCATCTGGTCGCAGAGAGTTAGTAAAATGGCTTTTAGATGGAAGACCATCGCAAGTAAACGCAACTAATCACGAGGGCCGCACACCTCTACACATAGCAGCAGCAACCGATAATGCCGATCTTTGTCGTCTCCTGCTTGATCGTGGAGCAGAAGTTAATCTAGTTGCAAGATCGTCAAAGAATGAACCTTTAACACCATTGGATTGCGCCGCTAGTCGAGGTCATAGATCAACAGCAAAATATTTGCAAATGCACGGTGGTTTACCTGCATCAAAATTGTCAAATACTGAAATTGTTATTGACGGAGCTCCAATTTCCGCCTTACCGCAACGAAAAGTCACCAGCACAAAAATAGATGTACGTGATCGTATTAGAATAGAAAAAAGAGAAGTAGTTGAACTTTCAAGTCCTTCATTAGAAAGACGACGTACAAAAGAAAGAAGTTACGATTATTTTACTAATGATTCTTCTTCTGATGACAGGAAATCCAGAAAAAAATCTAACATCAAGTATTCGGAAAAATATCAAGATCGTAAGAAAAGGCTAATTAGAGCGCAAAAGAGTTTTAGTGATGGTTATGATAGTGAGTTTGAAGGTTATGAGACAAAGGAATATCACAAACGAAAACACAAGCAAAGTTCAAGAAATAAAAAAAACAGATCTAAAAGTGAACCATCAAGACAACATGGCACTAGTGCGAAACATCGCCGGCGCGTTCGGTCTACATCAGAGAGTTCTTCAGATACAGAGAGTTACGAAGAAAAAAAGAAAAAACGCGGTCACCGCAAGCACAGCAAAAGAAAAATAAGCTCCTCATCAGAGTATAGCAGTGAGCAGTCTAGTGAGAGACGTAATACAAAAGTAAAAGCAAAGAAAACATCTATACATATCGAACACGATGATGAAAAACAAAAAGTTAATATAGTAAAATATAAAAATTTTGATCATGGACAAAATTTAGAATCCAACGAAAATATTATTAAAGATAACTCCGTAGATGGGCCTTCAATGAAATCAGAATCCGACATACAAGAGTTAAAAAGTAAAACAAAACCATGTAGCGAAACCGAGGCAGAAGCTATTTCGGTAAAAACTAATATGGTTGTTACTGAAGCACAGATACACATGGAACGAGAGTCTACACTTAATGGGAGTTCTGAATTAATTGTCACAATGGATTCATCCAATAACGTTGCAATAGAAACTTCAAATTTGCCTGTGACTCACAAAGATTTAAATGACGAAACAGGAAAAAATCTTGAAAATTCGTATGACAGCGTTAATAAGGAAAATGAAAATAAAACGCAAAGCGAAAATAATGGTGAATGTGATGTAAATAATGATAGTCCTGATAATAAAAAAGAAGATACCGTACGTGGTGAAGATAATATAATGAAAATTCATGATGAAGAATCTTTAAAGGTAAATGAAATGTCTTTAAAAAAACAACCACCAACTAGCGATCAACCTGATGTCGACGTAAATAAATCCGGAAACTTATTGTCAGATGATATTAATCAAAACGATAATACAAGTTCAAAAATATTACAAGAAAGTCAAGAGTCTTCAAAAGAATTATGTCAAGATTCCAAAACAGATATTGTATCTGATGATGTATGTAAGGAATCCCAGTCGCGCTCAAACTCTAATTTAGAATTTCTTCGGAAAAGATCGTTTCAGGTTCTATCGGGTCCCGTTGATGTAAATCAAAACGATAACATGTCTTCAGATAAAACGAGTCTAGATATAACAAGTGGTAATAATTCAGGATCTCAAGAAAAAGGTGGCTCAACATCAGTATCCTTTGCAAAAAAAGATGAAATTTTCAAAATTAATGACTCTGATTATGCATCAGATCGCTTAATGGGCGAAGAAGTTGAGCATACTGAAGTTGAAGGAGAAACGGACATAAAATCTCAAGACGGGATTGACAAAAGCCAAGTGAAGAATCAATATGCATCAACTGCAACAAGTAATAGTGATATGGTTTATAGTATCGATAATGGAAATGTTATTCATGTCCGCGATGATATGCAAGCTGTTGATCGAGCAGTGCAACAAATTATTATGCAAAGTGCATCTGAAGAATACGATATGAATGTATCGCTACCATTAACTTCCCCTAAATCAAGAAAATACACAAGAGACAGTCAAACGAATAGTCGTAAAAGTAGCATTTATGAAACTGAGAGTTATAAAGTCTTATCAGATGTAACGAGTACTGTTGAAGGTATCTTGAAAAAGTCAAGTAAATTAGATGAAGGGTCGCTAGAAGAAGATAAAGCTGTTGATGAAGATAAGGCTATTCTCTTTAAAGACAATTTTTTTAGTAGGGTACCCAGCGTAAGTGACAATGAAATTTATTATAGTCACTCCGAAGCAAATGGACGTAGAAAACGGTTTCGTAAGAAAGGTAGATCAAAAAGTCGCATAGCAATAAGATCTAAAAGTGAGAACTCGGAGAGGGGTTACGAATCTAGTGGGTTGATGGATTCGGGATTTGAACCAAGTCCTAGACCAGTACAGCGATGTATTGTGAGTCCCCGTCTAAACGCCTATTATCAACAGAGAAACGCTAGTGGCAAATTTTATGGTAGAATGGACAGCAAAATTCCTGTACGTAAGCCTGGAGACAAAAACGCAGTGGATATGAGGTCTGTAACGCAAAGAATACAAACTAACATGAGAAGGTAAGTGGTTTTTCTTTCATCACAACATTTTTTGTCCATAATTTATTCATGAAATTTAAATATTTTAGGTATTACTGTGAACGAAAAATATTTCAGCATTTACTAGAACTTAAGCGCTTACAAATAAGGACTAGTAAAGCAAACGAAGCTGTTCTTGTAAAAAGAGCTATTGATGAATATAATAAATCCAGTTTGGCAAATGTTGGATTGGGTCCATATAACAATCCAGAGTATTCTTTTAGCAGTTTTGAAAAATTTCTTTATGACAGTTTGAGAAAGTTACAGAAAAGTGGAAAGAAGCATTTAGATAAGCTTCCCGAAAAACCTATAGATTTTGATTACGGTGAAAGCGAACTGTACAAAATGAGCGCTATTCCAGATAATCCCTGTTTATGCACTAGCAAGACACATCGATGTTTTCATGCTGTACATGCATACACCGGCATACCATGCTCTGCATATAGTGAGTACATATCATTTCTTAATTGTTTATATTTAAATCCATTTCTCATGTGTATATTTCTTTTTCAAGTTCCTTACAAATGGAATCACCACACGATGCCTAAACCGTTGACAGCTGTTCCAAGTTCGAAGTCTAAAGGTTTCCTACCAAAAATTAACTCGAAGCCACCGTCAGGTGCAAACAAAGCACACGTTACATTAGAAGTGTCACATGGTACTGAAAAACAGCTGATAGCACTACCTGCTGAAAAATTGGATAAAAATAAGAGATATTATGTGACGTTTACAGTAAAAGGCTCTGAGCCAACATCGGATAACGACAATGCCACGGCGGCAGCAAGCCCCAATAATAAGAGCGTTCGCAGTGGCTGATCTTTGACGAAGATTTTATGAAAAACAAAAATATATTTTCGGTATAGGTACTCGTTAAATATTCTAAACATATGTTAATATTCTTTTTTGTTTTTTCGTTTAAATAGTTTTGTAAGTAGTTCTTTGAAATTACGACGAGTACTATGCAAGTCTAATACCGTAAAAATACCTTTGTATTTTTATCACTGAGTTCTTAAAATTATAAAATGTAAATCCACAATGTATAATTATAAAAAATATAAAGTATTTTCCCAATGATATCATTAATTTCGATTAGGTACAAAAAATGAAAACTGATGGACCCGTAAAATGCATCAATGTTTGGATGTCTTTATACTTCGTATTACCATTGACTCTTAGAATGAATTTAAATAGGTACAGTTTAACATCCCGAAGGAATATTCTACTTCTTGTGATTTCTAATCGAAAATTCTCGATAAAATACTACACATTACAACAAAAAAAAATGCATAATCAGGAAAAATCCATTATATTGATGCATTTTTATAAGTAAGACATGTTTACATAATATAATGAGAAGAACCTTTTACAAATAACCAGTAACAGCTCCTCATTCCTTATGACATTATTACCGATTATCAGTTCTTTTTGGAATAAATCTGATATTTTATGATCTTAATATGATTCTTTAGTTTCACACCATATCTGTTAACAGGATATCGCAGCCACATTGTAGTCGATCGAATCGACTATCGTCATTAATTTTATTTATAATGAAAATAAATGTAAATATTGTAAGTTTCCTTTCGTAAAGCTGATATTATTACTAATTAATTTAAATTACCGATTTTTTAAAGTTTATGGATACTACTACTAGTGTTTTACAGTGTATTCATACAATAAAAAAATGCATAATCAGTGAAAAAAATCCATTATATTGATGCATTTTATAGATTTGTCGGATAGTATACCATTTTCTGTCATAAAGCTTTCTATTGATTACAAGAAGAGTTTTAGTTAAAAAGGACGGTGAAAATATGGAGAGGAATATTGAAAACGTAATCATAAATTTGAAAATATCTTTCTAATCAATTAGAAAAAAATAATTAAATTGTTTGGTAAAGAGAGTGATAAAGATTGTTAAAGGTATGTCTAGCATTGTGTAGCTTACAGGACAAAGAAAATGGGGAAAAAATGTGAGGAGAGAACTCTTTTGCAAGGTCCTAGTTTTGATTACACGATTTAGGTATATATATACAAGGTGTATTACAATAAACGAAGCCTCTCGTGGGGTTGAACCATTAAATTGACAATATGACCAAAAATAAAAAAATCAGCTGTATCATCAAAAGATTTTTTATTTTATTTCGAAGTTGGTCCCATTGTGAAAGTTGTTCAATTTGATTGTCTGAGCAACCTCACGAAAGGGCTGGCGTTTAAAGTCGGCTTCTCACTGCGTGTGTCATCACGCGTCGCGCCGCACCCGAGTTGATTTTTATGCGCAAGCAAGCGCCACGTGCGAACCCGCGCCACCCGTTTTCACTGGCACGGCGCGGCACGTGCTTACGCATGCAAATTGACTCGGGCGCGGCGCGGCGCGTGATATCACAGGCAGTGAGAAGCCAGCTTTAGAAATGCGCGCCTCACCGTGCCGCACCGCGCCTTTGAAGTTACCGACTTTAAACGGATAGCACACGCCACGCCACGATTACCCACGTCGCGCCGCGCCAAACCCATTACACTGCACACGCACTGCAGCGTGATAATACACGTAGTGAGAAGCCACCATTAAACGGATAGCACACGCCGCGGCACGCCTGCTCACGCCGCGCCGCGTCAAGCCTTTCACACTGCACGTGGCGCGTGATAACACACGCAGTGAGAGGCCCCCATAATGGCGGCTTCTCACTGCGTGTGTTATCACGCGCCGCGCCGCCCGTGTAGATTTGTACGCACAAACACGCGCCACCCGTTTTAACTGGCGCGGCGCGGCGCGTGCTTGCTCAAACTCCGAGCCACTGACTCAGTGTGTTTAGCGCAGCGCACTTATGTCATGTGAGTCGGATTGCCACCTCCAGTCATGGAGCAATGCCACTGAAGAAGAAGGCATCGCTGTTGCTTCAGCCGCTTTTGTCTTATTTTGTGGACATCATTTAATTAATAAAATTAACAAAAAAAGAAGAAAAAGCGCTAGTGGATGACATCGTTAAAATTAAAAATTCAGCAATCGTCTCATTAGACCACTCCATATCTATATAGATATGAGAGTACCTCAACGTCAGACGAGTTAAGACGAAATGAACGAGTTCAATCTTGTAAGCACACACCGCGCCGCGCGCACCTACGCACCGACGCGCGAGCCCTCGCCGCGCCGCGTCGCGCCTTTGAAGTTACCGATTTTAAACGGATAGCACGGGCCGCGCCACGCCTGCCCGCGCCATCCACGCCAAGCCCTTCAAGCTGCGCGTGGCGCATGCGGGCGCGGCGCGGCGCGTGGTAACACACGCAGTGAGAAGCCGCCATAATATGTTACACCTTGTATAGGTATTATATCACGTTTCTATAAATGTATAATTTATTTTTAGACTGATAAAATCCGTCCAATAATAATTATTAAATACCTATTTTCTTACTTCTAAAGATATCATGAAATGTATCGAAAAGTTTTAGATGTAGATTAAATACAACATTAACGCTAATGCATAAATTAAGTATATAATATGAATATGTTATTAGTGACTTTGAAAATGTTTGTATTTTGATGGTGTAGAATTAAATGTTTGAGAAAAAAGTATCGAGTTTTTCAAACGATTTCACCGAGGTTATGCTGAACAATACGGTTATATGCGTATAGCGAAATATTATACACAGGTGAGCACATGAACCCCTAGATAACTAGGAGTTTGTGCAGTACCAAATGTATCTACATATTTTGCTACTATTTTGGTACCCCATACCAACGTCTAGAAGACCTTAAGATGGCGTGTTCGCTTTTCCCGCGCCACGCTATTTGAAACAAGTATAGATATGTCGATAGAATTCACGCTCCATTATCTAAATTTAGAGTGGGTCCGTTAAGAGCCTGCAATCTTTGGCACACTGGTAGCATTCCGGACACTTCCAGATTGGAAGGGATGACTAGCTTTTTTTTAGTATAGTGTGACAAACGAGCACACAGTCCACCTGATAACAAGTGGCCGCCGCGGCCCACAGACATCTACATCTTTTCACGATTACGAATCAAAATGCAGATGCGTTGTCACCCGTGAGGACTAAGGTGGAATGCCTCGTTTCCAGTAGAAAGGGTCTCCGGTTCTCTTCACTCACCATACGAAACAGCAGCATTAAACTAGATACTATTTTACGCTGGTATTCTGAGAGCGTAGTCCTTCCCCGGTCGAGCCGACACATTCATGCTACAACTATACTACTAATATAACTGCAGCATAACTCTACCACGTACAAGATGAGATGTTAAAAAGATATTATGATCACCTAAAGGCAGCTGCTTCATCGGTATTTACGCTTCTAAATATTAAATATTAATTATTAAAGGTTCTAGGTAGCCTAGATTAACTACATAACATCAGAACTTCGAACACAATATTTATGTGACTATGGGCATTGAAACTTCGAGAAGCTATAAGTATAATTTGACACAATAAAATTATCGTATTTTGAGGATAATTTAGGAAGGTAAAAAACCCCCCGGAATCTATTTTAAGATAAATTATTTTAAAATGTAATTATTATTCATTATATCTATTTATTTTGTTAAATTATTAACAGAAAATATTTAAAAAAAAATAAATAAATATTGAAATCGCTAAAAATGTAAACCAGCTATTTTACGCTAAAGTAGGCTGACAAAAATTCCGTTCAAATCCGGCACATTTTTCAATAATTTGGATAATACTCGTAGAACAATTCAGTTTAGGTGTAAAAATATGCCTGAGAGCTCTACAAATTAGGTTAAATAGGAAGTTACTGGGGCTTTGGGTATATATAATAATTATGTACAGTTTGAACGGATAAAATCGGATTAGAAATGGTGGCTCATTGAGCCCGTACCGTCAAACTGCACAGTACTAATAGCGAAAACGTGTTAATAAAGCTATACCGTTATAACGTTACATTATTCGGTTAGTTGGAAATTGTCTATTATTGGGAAAATATTTGAAAAGAATTGTATAGCAACCCCAACAGGTACATTAATTTTAAAATAACATTTATAACTAGCAAATATTTCTATTTTAACTAATTCTCTAATTTTTTTCGGAAAATTTTTAGTCTAGATCACTCATGGTATTTGTTTGTGAAGTTTTATTACAATCGGTTCACCAATTCCGAAGATTAGCTCGGACAGATAGACAAATTAAAGTTATAAAATTTGTTGAACATGTCTCAAGTGCATAAATATTTTATACAAAAATATAACAAAATCAACATTTATTATTAAGAAAACTCTCATAACGCGTCGTACCTTACAATTTAGCAAAACCGGACTGAATTTTTTTTGAAGTTTTTGCCATTTTGTTATTATTGATTCTAATGACAAATTGGAGTGAAGTTATAGAACGTCCGAAAAACGCATAACGTTTACCGACGGTAAGACAGTAGTATAGACAGAGATAGAGTGCGAGCGAGAGATGAATAGAGACGACGTCATTTTCAATCCCATTCTTTAACCAAATAAGGTATTTAAGTTTCTGGTTTCTTTGCTGATTCTTCTAAAATGACTTACAAGGATTATTATTTTGTAATGTATGTGGAATAACATTATTCTTTTGTATTCAAGGTTTTACTAAAAAAAAGATACATACTTTAAATTTAAATTCTCAATATGATCAGAATATTATCGATCTAAACTTAGTTTCTATAAAAGCAGTAAATATCAGGAATCACTCAAGTGGAACTTGACTCCAAGACGCATGTTTTGAGCAAAGAGTTTATATTATATATTTAAAATAAGAAATAAAACAAATTATTAAAAAAAAACTACTATATTTCTTCTGTAATAACTAAACTAACGTGAACAA